AGCAAGAAATACCTTTGGGAGCCTTAAAATCGGGGAGTTTTCCATAGAATTTCAAATGCTAATTCTCTCTTGGTAAAAATGGCAGAACTGGCGGTGGTGAGAGCATCTGCCCAGCACTGATGGAAGCAATGTGATCGTCCTTGTCAGTTTGCGTATTCTGGTGGTCACTTTAGATAGAGCACAAAGAAATGGATGAAATTAATTGTAATAATATATTCTCTTAAACTCAGTATTTCCGAATATCATGTCATCGCTACAGAAATTATTAATTAGCTGTGTGCATATTTTATACCTAGCACATCTCTAGTCGGGCACTTAGCTTATCTCTTCAGGCCTTTAGCACATCTCTGTATAGGCTAGCCCACAAGCTTCATGGTTTTCACTAGCCTCTCCCACTCCCTCCCTTCATTAAAACTTCATTAGTCCCATCTCAGCAGGCATTGGGGCTTGGGACACTTCCTGATCTGGACATTTTGCCTGTTTTCTTATGGGCCTTTTTATTCTTTTAAAAAATACTGGCTTCACGACAGTAATCTCTTGAGCAGCAGAATCCCATTAAAATCCCATTTTAAAAGTAGATACACTTTACAGTTTACAAAACACATTGACAACATTATTCGAAGTCAAATGTTGTCCTGCAAATGTGGTGGTGTCTCACTCAGTCCACAGAAGGTTGCACGGGGCAGCGTCCTGTCTAATTCACCGTGCCGGCTAGAGCCTGCAAGTTTGAGCAGGCTGCCACACAAGGTCTTCCGTCCTCATGAGCACCCTCATCATTCCCAGACCAGCATCATTTCTTTCACACATCACAAGTTCTTGCAGTACTGTCCAGAGAGTGCCATTTTATTCCAGCCCCGCCTCCTTTCCCCTAACCAGAAACGGCACATCCCTGCTTCTCCATCATAGGTGCTGCGTCACTGGAGTGGGCCAGGGGCTCATGCTGTGAGAGGCCCACGGTGTGGGACAGGCCTGAGGAGTCCTAGGGGCCCTGTTCCCATCTCAGGGTCACACAGGGGCCCATGGAGATGGAATGGAATGCAGTTGGTGTTGCCTGCCCTCTTAAGTTCTCCTGCATTTTTTTTTGTAATTCAGATAGCATCCTTTATGCAGATATGCATAAGTTAAACACACAAATGATCAAGGTTCTGTATTCCCTCAGTTAAAGAGGATGGTTTTAAGCCAGGTAGAAGCAGCAGCTAAGTCCTATTGAATCTGGAGTCAGGCATGTGCAAAAGGTTCCTCTCTCCCAGAACCACCAAACAATGCTTAAAAATCTCTTAATTTGTTAGAGAGGCCTTCCTTCTCAAAACAGTCTTTGGTTGGGGCGCCTGGGTGGCTCAGTCGGTTAAGCGTCTGCCTTCAGCTCAGTCCTGGGACTGAGCCCTGCAGCCGCCGCTCCCTGCTCATTGGGGTGTCTGCTTCCCCCTCCACTCCTCCCCACCACTCTTGTTCTTTCTCTCTCAAATACATAAAATCTTAAATAAAAAAGCCGTCAAGTAAACCAGAACTCCTTGGACATATTAGGTGCTCATGGAGTTTATTTGAATCAAATGATCACTTATAGAAGGAAGAGAGACAGAGCAGCTTAAAAATATTAAAAGTTTTTAAAAATTAAAAGTTAAAAAATTTCAAAAGTTTTTAAGTTCTGATTAAAACCAGAAACGAGGGTAAACTCTTAGTCATGGAGAACTATGATTAAAAAGATTATTTTGGAATATTTATAAGATCATAACATTAGTGTTGAAATGCCATTTAAAAATATATTTAATAGATCAAGAACAACCCCTTGTGTGTACTTAAACCCTCCAATCCATATGTGCTATCTTTTCATTCTGCATGAGCCCGGAATCTCTCAGGAATGGGTTCTCCAAGTAGAAATCAAACTGCTTCTTTTCCATTTATCAACATTTGTTTTTTGGTTTCTCATTCCCTAGAATTTTAAGAAAATGGAGTAACATTCACCCGTGCTCAGAAGCACACGAAGTTTCACGTTTGTCAAACACTAACTTTGAGGCCACCGGGAGCAGGCTCTGTTTGTCGGCGGCTCAACCCTTCCAGAGAAGTTGAGGTGGGGCAGGGTGAGGCTGGGCGGGGTGGGGCCGCGTTCCAGGCCGATAATGATTGATCAGCATTAACAGTGGACGGGATAAGATCAAGGTACTCCCTGTACTTCAGTAGTTTAAGCAAGATCTCGGCATCGCGTATTCGCCCGGGGACAGCGGCCGCAGTGTGCGCTTAATTAGAGAGAGCAGTGCTGGTTCGCAGACCCGTGCAGGTGTGGACCCTGACCTTCCTCCGCCGAGCTGGTGTGAGCGAGATGCTGGCTGGCTCTGCTGCTCCCTCAGCCTTCCTGAGCTTGCCAGTGGCTCCCACGTTGCAAACAACTTGGCCATTTTATGACCCCTTTGCTTAAAGATTCTAGTTCCTTCATTCTTTTATTCTTACCCTTATTTGTTTTGTACCCTGTTGGCCCTACATGCAAGCCAGCTAACTTGCCCGGTGTTTAGCTGAGGAAACAACGGTCTGTTTTATTGCCGGAGTAAAAAAAGAAGGTGGTCTATGTTGGATTTGAAGTTTGTAGTCCAGTGACTTCTGGATGATTTAGGAGATGCTCAGGGGTCCGTTCCAGGGTACTTGGTTGTCACCTACACGCTGGCTTTGTCGTAGAAGCCTAAGTGGGAGTGAAGGGTCCTGAGCGAGAGAGACTCGGCACGACGGCGATGGGGGCAGATGTGGGGCGGGAGCGGGGCGTCAGATCTCACTGGGGCCGGGGGTGGGGGGAGAGGCTGGCATTTGGAAATGGACAGTCATGGCCGCGGGCACTCTGGACGCGCACCAGTGGGCGTCCTGCAGCCGGAAGAGCAGGTCTGGAGCTCGGGTGGGTGGGGCGTGGGGCGGCCGTCCGGGGGGGCTGGGAAGGGCGCCTGCTGCGTGCTAGGCAAGGGCATTGGATTTGATCCCGGAGGTGCTTTCAGCCGTCCGTTCACCCAAGAAGCAAGGCAGATTTGGGGCCGTTCTCCCAGAGTGGACGGCTGAGCTGGCTACCCCGGGAGACCCAGGCAGGTTCATCATACTTACACGTGCACACATGCCTCCAACGATGATAAAATGTGATATCTGCCCGTGCTTAAACCCCCGCAGCACAAAAGGGCGTGGCGGTGTTTGTCCTGTGTAGACATGGTCATGGCTGTCTCTTCCTTGTGCGTCCTACAGACACTCCGTGCGTGCACAGTGTGTAAAGACACAAAGTAGTATTCACTATCTCTTTCATTAACAACATATCCTGGAAATGATTCCAGGTTATACTTGATCCTTGAACAACTCGGCATTTGAACTGCATGGGTCTGCTCACGTGCAGAGTTTGTTTCTGTAAATACAGTACAGGGCTGTAAATGTATTTTCCTTCCTTATGATTTCCCGGGTAACCTTTCCCTATCTTCAGTTTACTGTACAAATACAGTGTATGACAGGTATAAAATACAACATTTGTATTAATCAACTGCGTTAGTGGGAAGGCTCCCAGAAGTAGGCAGTTGGTGACATTTTGGAGGAGTCGAAGTGATATGTGGATTTTCGTCTGGGGACAGTGCCGCAACCCCCCTCCCCAGCTGTTCAAGAGTCAGCTGTATGTCGCTGCGAGCTGCTGCATTCCTTTCTCTGGCGGGGGCAGCGCTGGACTTGTATCACACGTGCATGTGTTGGGCTCCTTGCTGAAGGACCCGGATGTCAGGTCCAGTCTGTTCGGGGAGTGAGACACAGCTGCCCAGGCTCATGCCGTCTGTGTGTGTCTGCACTCACGTCCAAGGGCAGTTTGGGAACCGATTCCTGGACATGGAGGTGTTTGGTGACAGTGTGCACACCTCCAGGGTTCTAGCTGCTGCTCTGTCGTCCACCGGAGAGTTTGTGCCCGTTTGCCCGCTCAGAGGAGTGTACGGGAGGGTTTATTTCACAGAGCCATAGTCAGACTTCTGAGCTTTACAGATGTTCTCTGTAAAAAGACGACAAAGTTGAGACCATTTCCTGTATCTAAAAGCCCTGTTGAATTTCTTTTTCTATGGCCCACAATTTTAGGTCCATCCCTAACTATTAAGTTGTTACTTGTTTTTTTTTTTCTTCTTATTGGTTTATGAGAGCTCTTTATTAAGTAAATTAGCTTCTTTGCTTTTGTAAGAGTTGTTAGTAGTTTTTCTCAGTTTCTTACCTTTTGATTTTGCTCATTCTGTGTCATTATTCAGAATTTTTCTTTTATTAGATTTGTATTTTAGATTTATGATATGAGGAACTGAGCCAGGATGAGAAGAAAGACATGTTTCATAGATAATTTTGGAGGTAGAATGGAAAGGCCATCTTTGGAAGCTATAATAATGGGTGACTTTGTCTTTTTTTTTTTTTAATGTTATGTTAGTTACCATACAGAACATCTTTAGTTTTTGATGTAGTGTTCCATGATTCATTGTTTCCGTGTAATACCCAGTGCTCCGTGTAATCCATGGCCTCCTTAATACCCATCGCTGGGCTTTAGTAAGAACTGGATTTCAGATGCCACAAAGCAAACTTCAGGTTCCATCCATAACTAAGGGACAGGAGGGAAAAACTAGAATTTAAGGAAATTTAAAATTAAGGAAATATTAAAAAAAAAAAAAAAGAACTTTCTGTTCCAGCAAATGTGACTGAATGCCCTGTGTGTGTGTGTGTCCGTGTCCGCATGCGCGTGTGTTTTGTCTCAGGACTGAATTAGCCCTTCATCCTGCTGGCCTTGGTCCCTGTCGAGGTCCCAGGGACTGGACACTGGTGGGTGAATCATTATTGCTAGTGATAGTGAGCCTTGACCTGTATTTTAGGAGGATTTGCCCCTCCAGGACAATTTAGAAGATATTATTTTCTTAACGTTTTGATTTAAATAATCTTTCCATTTAAGAAGTTAACCCCCGTAGCCACTTGTGCCATATTTTTCCTTCGCCCTCATCTTTTTCTTTCTCTGTTTATATTTTTTGGTAAAGGGACCATCTAGAAGCTGCCGGCCACGTATGTCTTCTGAAAGATGCCTGTGACCTGGAAAGCTCATCTGAAATCGCGCGCCTCATCAAGGCCGAGAACTTGGAGGCAGCACTGGCTCTTCATCTGTACAGAGGAGGCCGACTCCTGCGAGGTAAGCCTCTTTCTCTCCAAAGGTGAAACACTGGGAACTGTGGAAACTAGAAGCACTTACAGGGTCAAATAAAACAGCTGAGGCCGCCGGCGGGGGAGGTGCTCAGTGGGTTAAGCCGCTGCCTTTGGCTAAGGTCATGATCTCAGGGTCCTAGGATCGAGTCCCACGTTGGGCTCCCTGTTCAGAAGGGAGTCTGCTTCTCCCTCTTTCTGCTCATGCTCTCTCTTCCTTAAATAATTAAAATATTAAAAAACAAAACAAAACAGGGCTGAGCTCTCAGTTCATGCTCTTTGCCCGGTTCAGACTTGGAGGGAGCACACTTGTCTTTTTTGCTTGGTCCTCCTTAGGACTCACTTTCCAGAAGGATGTAATTCTAACGAGTGGGAGTGGATGTGTGCTGAAACTACTGTGCTACATCCAGGGAGCTGTCCTGGATGTCTCCGATGTGCAGTTCCTCACTCAGTAGAATTTCCAGAAGTCAAACATGCACATCTTTGAGGAACACAGAATGGGCACGTGTGAAACACTTGATGCCGCGGATTTACTAACGAGGGAAACCCTGAGATCCTGCAGCCGGCTTAGAGAGCATAAGGAGCTGGGAGTTGAGTAGGTGACTTAGTGGAGAATATTAAATTAGGTTGCTCGGTTAGCTACAGAGCAGGCTCACGTCCAGCGGGCAATGAGGGAAGCTTTGGGGCTGTCTGCCCTCCGGGTGCAGTAGTCAAGGCTCTCAGAGAGACAAGCCCAGGAGGACATGTGCAGACACATAGAGGAGAAGGTGGGCTTAGATGTGATGACAGAGGCCCAGAGGTCTCCCGACCTGCCCTCCGCAAACCGGAGAACCAGCAACCGATGCCGCCTTCCATCTGGGTCTAAAGGTCCAAGCATCGGGGGCTGCTGGAGCCAGTCGCTGTGCATCGGAAAACCAGAGAGCGGGGACCTGGGATGTCCGAGCACAGGGGAAGAGCGATGTCTCCGCTCAACCCAAAGAGTGAATTTTTCTGCCTGGCCTTTCTGCTCCTCTGGGGCCTTGAGCAGACGACCGGGTGCCATCCACTAGCCTCAGTGAGGGCCGCCGTCTTCCTCCTTCAGTTGCCGATTCAGGTGCTCATTTCGGCCGGAACCGCCCCCACAGACACACCCCGAAACAATGCTTTACCAGCTGTCTTGGCAGTCCCTGAGCTCAGACATAGCGTTAACCATCACCAATGCACAGAAGTGATTTCCATCGATAACTTGACCCAAAGCGAGTCCAACATGGTGCTTGCACTCAGAGCCCTGAGATCTTGCCATTTATAACGATGTGGATGGAACTGGAGGGTATTATGCTCAGTGAAATAAATCAATCAGAAAGGCAAACATACGATTTCACTCATATGTGGGATTTAAGAAACAAAACTGATGAACGTAGGGAAAGGAAAGGAGAAATAAAACGAGATGAAAACAGGGAGGCAAACCACAGAGGCGCTTAACCATAGGAAGCAAACTGCCAGTTGCTGGAGAGGAGGTGGGTGGGGGACGGGGTACCTGGGTGACGGGCATGAAGGAGGACACAGGATGTGATGATGTACGCAACTGATGAATCACTGAGTTCTGCTCCCGGAATTAATGACATACTATATGTTAACTAAATTGAATTTAAACTAAAAAGCAAAACAAAACCCCTGAGTCCAGTGCTCTCGGGCCGAGCCAGCCAGGCACCCCAAACTGCAAAGTATTTGATGCAACTTCCCAGGGTGTGAGCTCCTAATTAGTAGTAAAGAGCGAAGCTGAACGTCAGTATCCTCTCTTAAACACTCGGCTCATCAGTCCACGGGGGCCTTAAAACACAACACGGCTCCCTCAGTCCCTGAGAGGACATGGGCGCAGTTATTGTTCTGACTTCAGCTACGACTGGGGGCTCTTTCTTCTCGTCCCTCCCGAGGCCGGTGTGATGGGGGCGAGCACAGAGTCACCGAGCGACGGCCACGGCATCGCGACGTTGTAGCTGAGCGAGGATCTTTCCCCAGACGCCGGTGGGCTGACACGGCAGTGGCATCACATTTTGGGAGGCATCTGTCAGTTGAGGGCTGGAAGGATCCAGGGCTGTCTTCACACGAGGGTGGAGCTTCCGCCAGCAGCGGGACCGGACTTCGGAAGTTTTCCACAGTCTCGTTGCTAAAGGTGACTTCCTGCCGCTCCACACCGTGTCTGGCTTGGCCTCCCTTCCTGCTCTCCCTCCTGCCTCCTGCCCCCAACAGGAGCTGGAGCCTCGCCGGATGCTCACTTCCTGCCTGGGTACACTGGGCAAGGTGCTGGTTTTGAAAGTAAGCTGCTGCATGCACACTTTAAAAAAAGAAAAAACAAAAAAACCCTCCCCCTAGTGCAGAGTGAACGTAACTAAATGATCAAAGACAGAAAGAATTTCTCCCACTTCTCGTTCCAACGCTCTAGTATCTTACCACCAGGGACAACTAGTGATCATTTGCTTGTGTATTCTCCTGGAAATGTATTACAGGTACTGTGCTAGTATCTGTCTTAGTAATACATTCCCCCCCGAAGCGAGTGGCTTGCAGCAATGCATTTCCATGTAGTAGATTCCGTGGGTCTGGACTTCAGAAACAGCCGTGCTGGGGATTCGGTCTCGGGCTGTCCGGCGAGGCTGCAGTCAAGACCCCGTACGATGCGCTCCGGACGTGCTCTGGCCGGGGCTGCGTCATCTGGAGGCCTTACTGGTCCCTCACCTGCCACCTGCTGTGGGTGGGAGGCTCCGCTTTCTCACCAGTGGGCCTCTGCTGAGGTTTCTGAGTGTCCTCGAGACATGGCAGCCAGCTTCTCCAAGAGAGCACATAGGAAGCTGACGGGTCTTCAGGATCCATCCTTGGTAGCCCTAGATTCCAGAGCTTGTGCTGCTTATACAGATCAGCCCTTGGGGGCGTGGGAGGACACCTCATCGAGCGGGACCATCCGGGCTGGCCACCCTGTGAGGCCAGGTACATATTTGTACATATCTCCTCCCTGAAAATCAGCATGAGTGGGAGCACGCTGTAGTCAGGGTCTCGCTTTGTACCATCCGGCGGTTCTTCTGGGAGATGTTTCTGCAGCAGCGCAAGTATAATCTACCTCATTTTGCCATGACTTGCGGAACCTTCCATGCTTGGGGGTGCCATCATGTCACCAAGCTTCCATTGGAACACTGAAGCCGTCTTCCATGCTTTTCTCCCACAATCTTGGCAGCAAACATCTCTGTACGGACATCTTTGCTTAGGAACCTAAGAGAATCTACCTGTGCCTCCGTACTTTTTCAGCCCTGCTTGAACCATCTGCACGAAATGTTTTCCATCCATGGGGACGGTTTCCTCAAAGTATTACTCCCAAGAGCTCTTTCCCTCTGAACAGATACGACTTGGAATTCTGCTGCAGATGTCCTAGGACATAGAGTCTGCAATTGATCTCAAAATACAAAAAAAGCGTAGAGGCCAAGATATAGTCCATCGTTTTAAAGCTCTTGGGAACTTTTACAAGGTTGTAATTGACCGATGAAAGTCTGTTCTGCACTCAGTAGGCTTCATACCCTGGGGCTAGTGACTCTGTTTATCATCGGGTATATAATTGTCTATAAAACCATGGATTTTTAATGTGTTACACACATACATGTGGAGCGTACTTTACTTCCACAACTGTGTGACTCTATCTTTAAGTACACTTGAACTACATATCTTAGCGATCTTTCCAAATCAGCAGACCTCCTTCTGCCTTATTTTTTTTCCTGACTGTGCAGTATTCCACCAGAAGAATGCACCGTGTTTATTAAAAGTCTGCCTTACTTTTGCTATTACAGGTAAAGCCACAGCAAGTGTGATTACATTTTTTACCTCACTCTGTGGGTATACGTGGTGGATTAAATTCCTCAAATAACCTGTGGCCAGAGGACTGTGTATTTTTCATTTGGATTCACGGGGACAGATTGCCCTCCAGAAAGGTCATTCCAGTCCAGGCTCAACCAATAGACGGAAAGACCTGTTTCCTCTTGCTCTTCTCCTTCAAAGTCCAGTTTTTCTCCATGTTACCATTTCTTGGCCTTTGCTTCAAATAAGTGGAGGAAAAGCACAAAGTCACTTAAGCTTTCTCTCCCAAGTACTAGGAGGGGGGCACCCTCCCTAGAACCCATCGTATGAGGGAAACGAGTCTTCCTGCTTTGGTCGAACAGACGCCGGGACCCAAAGCAGCACCGCTGCTCGTGAACTTAGCCCGGCTTCTGTCTGCGCGTTTATTCCCAGTTGTTTCCATGGTGGCACGTGTGTTCCTAAAGCTCATGTCTTTGCAAGCGCACTCTCCCCGAGCCGCAGACCGTGAGCAGTGCTACGGTCGCCATCGGCAGGATGACCTCGTGACCCTCACCCCTGCGTCCAGGGCCGCTTCCTCTCTGTTCTCCGCGCTGGACTGCGCTGTGCTGGCGGCTGGCCGGGCACGATTTCATACGTTTCTAAGTCTTCCCTAGATTAAAGTATATAGTTCTTAAAGTTATGTTTTTTTAATATTTACTTATTTGGGGAGAGAGAGCATGAGCAGGAGGGACAGAGGGAGAGGGAGGATCTCAAGCCGACTCTGTGCTCAGCGCAGAGCCCGACATGGGGCTCGAACTCACGACCCTGAGCTCACGACCAAAGCCGAAACTAAGAGTTGGACACGCAACTGACTGAGCCACCCAGGTACCCCTGGATTAAACCATATTTTAAAATGTAGAACATTTAATTGTGTGTTTTTTTAATTGCGGAAGCAGATCATTTGGAAACTTCTTAAAAGCACAAAGAAGGAAATACAGCCCCTTGAGTTTCACTACCCAGATGTGACTGCGTTTCCTGTACATGTTTGGTTTTATTGATTTCGTGGTTTTTTTCAAAATTAAATTTACACAGAAATATATACTCGTTCAATATAAACTTGCAACTTCTTTTAAAGAAATACTAATTCATGCTTCCCGGGCTAAGCACTACAGACACCGTGTCTGACATTCTCATCCTTCTCTCTGTGCAATGTGTGGATCGTATCACAGTTTAGCGATCTGTCTTACCTACTGATACGTTTGGAGCATTTCCCCCCTCATTGAATGGTCTTCGACAGCGTGATAGGAGCAGTCAGATCCTATTTCCCCTGTCCTCCTCAACTGTAACAGTGTTGTGGTGAGCAGGCGTCTGCAGAACCCGTTTGTTTTAAATTTGATTTTCTAAGTGGGGCACGCCCCCCCCGCCAGGGCATATCTGTGCATTTTTATATCAGATACACGTTGCCAAATAGTAACCGGCCACACTTACATGTCTGTGCGCAGTAAATATAGTTAAATAAAACCTTAATGGCATGGACAAGTGGAAGTTTGCTTTTCTTTTTAAAACCAGTATTTAGGGCGCTTGGGTGGCTCAGTGGTTAAAGCCTCTGCCTTCGGCTCAGGTCATGATCCCAGGGTCCTGGGATCGAGCCTCGCATCGGGCTCTCTGCTCAGTGGAGAGCCTGCTTCCCCCACCCTCTCTCTACCTGCCTGCCTCTCTGCCTACTTGTGATCTGTCAAATTAAAAAAAAAAAATCTTTAAAATGAATAAATAAATAAATAAATAAAACCAGTATTTACTGAGAGAATAATTAGGTAAATAAAGTTGCTAAGAAGAATATTCAAGTTCGGAGAAATAGCATATTAACAATATTAACATTTATTATAGCTATTTTGCAGGTACAATGCAAGTATTAAAAAAAAGAATCTTTTTGTTTTTTAAAGATTTTATTTATTTATTTGACAGACAGAGATCACAAGTAGGCAGAGAGAAAGGCAGAGAGAGAGGAGGAAGCAGGCTTCCTGCTGAGCAGAGAGCCCAATGCAGGGCTCAATCCCAGGACCCTGAGATCATGATCTAAGCCGAAGGCAGAGGCTTTAACCCACTGAGCCACCCAGGTGCCCCAACAATATGAGTCTTAATGCTTTGTTTAATGGATGCATTGCATATGTTCCTCCTCTTGGACATATCCGTGAAAGACGTTCTATGTGTATACCCACTCGTCTTTCAAGTACATGCGAAGAGAACTTCGTAGCTTCCCGGTCTAAAATACAGCAGACGACCACTTGTGTAGGGGGCTTCCTGGGCTCTCCTTCATCTGCCCTAAGTGACACACAAAGAAAACGGGCCCGGTGATCCAACGTTGGCAGGAAGCTGGGTGAGAAGTGCTTCAATAAAGTTCTTTTTCGGTTTCTCGTTGAGAATCGGCTTCAGGCTCCAACCTGGTGAGGAAGCAGATGGTGTCAGGTGGCTGATTAAGGAGCCAGGTTCAGGAAACTGTGATGTTTTTTCTCAGCAGGCTCCCAGGAATGACAAATTTTCAGTGGAGGCATTGATTGATGAACGAGGACCAGTCGCTTCGGCAGCTCTAAGTAAATGCACTAGGAAAGTAGATTGTAGACCACTTTTCAAGCTTTGTTCATTTCCACAAAGGCTTTTCAAAGATTTAACTTGGGAGCAGGCATTGTATCAGGAGCAAGGGGTACAAAATTAATAAGCCATGGTGCCTATTCTCAAGGATTTTCCAATCCTTTACAAATCAATCCTAAAACCTTACGATACATGGCGTGGCATTGAAGTGGGGGGATTTACTTCCGAGGGGCCCGATGAAGATGTCAGAGAGGAGGGCGTGCCTGAGTGGGGTTTTGAAGGGTCAATAGGAGTTTCCAAACATTTTATATAGCAGAGGACTTCTAGAATTTTCCACTCATAATTATGGATGCATTTCCATTAAGACTAACATGCTATTTATTTAAAGCTTTGTTTTCTCACCAATAATGAGTATTGAAGAAATAGGAATGCAAATAAAGTATCCACATTCCATCCCTCCGAGTGCTGATTTAATTCAGAGAGCTTCTGGATTTTATATTTAAACACTTGCTGGGCGTAAAGCATGGTGATATAGTATCACAGAGTCCATCCTATGCTGGTAGGTTGTATGTAGTGAGTCATTTAACCCCACGAGTAAGTCAGCTAATTAGCATGACCTCCATTTCACGGATGAGATGGCTGAGGTTCAGAGAAACCTGGTGTCCTGCTCAAAGTCCTGCATTTTCCAGGAGGAGAACCAGGATTCTGACCCAGGATGGTGAGGTGTCAGAGTCTGGTGTTTTTTTCTTCCTTGATTTGATGAATTTGAGCGGCTGCCTCTTGGCCAGCAGCTCAAGGTGCCCATCATTTTAATTACTGAATGCTCTTCGTTTCTCCGTCTGTGATACTGGCTGTACATCTTTCTGGTGTCTGCTGTCCTGTCTTTGGAGATTCCACTGAAAAAAAGGCTCTTTCTGTGATCTTCCTTACCCTAATTTTCCTTAACTGGCAGTTTTTATGGGTTGGGGGGGATGCTGTATTAGTTTCCTATTGCGCAATTTACCGCAAACCCAGTGGCATAAAACACACGGGTTTTGTCCTCTAGCTCTCAAGGTCAGAAAACCAAAATGGGTCTCCTGGCACTAAAAGCAAGATGTTGGCGGGACTGTTTTCTTTGTGGAGCTTCTGTGGCAAATCTACTTCCTTATTTTCCACCTTCTGGAGGGACCCACACTCCCTGGTTCAGAGCCCCTCCCTCCCCAGAGCCCGCCATGGCCGGTCCAGTCCCCCCATGTGGCAGGGCGGGGAGCTCCTCCTCCCCCTGCCTCCTCCGCATGTAAGGACCCTGTGGTCCCCCTGGATGGTCCAGGATAATCTCTTCCATTTTAGGGTTAGCTCACTGGCATCCTCCATTCTACGTAGCCTAATTTACCTTTCCCCTGAAACGTTCCTAGGATCTAGCAATTAGGAATGGACATCTTTGGGGGTCACTGTTCTTCTCTCCTCACACCTCCCTCTGGCCCCCAAGATTCGTGTCGGTCCCACATGCTAAAACCATTCACTCTCTCAACATCCCCCAATATCTACACCCATTACAGAAAGGGAATCATTTCTGCAGGGGTGCTCTTCTCTGTCTGCGGTTGTGGAAAAGGTCATTATCTGTCCATAGTAAGAAGCAGCCAACAACAGAACACGTTACAGAGTAAAAAGTAATGTTCCCCTCCCATCCCAGATCTGTGGTCTTGTCGGTCCTTTGTCCAGAGGTAGCAACAACCAGGTTTTCTGTATGTCTTACACTGAGTTTATACATATGTATAGACACACACACACACAACACGTGTATGTTTATATACATGTGAATGTTTATCATTCACGATAAACATGAGCTAGCACTCATGTAATAGGTTTTTTTCAGTCTTCTTATGCCCGTGTACACACACACACACACAACCCCATAGGCTTCCTTTTTTTTTTTTTTTTTTTAAAAAAAGGCTGGTCTTCAGTGCTGTATCTGAGTTGTTTCCCATCTTTTGCTCCCCCTAGCTGCCTCGGTGTGTCTGGGGGTGCCACCGTTGGACTTAGCATCTAGGGGCTGAATTCTTAGCAGTCAGATTCCAGGGGAAGAGCCATCTCACCAGAGAGAAAACAGACAGAATCTGCTCATTTGCACTGATGGGAATAGTTCTAAGGCAAATAAAAGGAAAGATGAGTACCCTTTGAGTGATCTACTGAGTCTCAGGAGGGATGGCTCGTTCCAGAAACCCAGTATGAAGGTCCCTCTTGGGTCTGGTTCAGTTGGTGGCTTGCCAGCCAGCATCTGGCCTTTGGTGTGGCTTCTGCTCAGCACATCATTTAGCTCGCTCTGTGCATGCCTGATGCCTAGCTCGTTGGAGCTCAACAGACATTCCTGTGACTAAGCCTGTCACTGGCACAGGACAGACTTGCTCCCTGGCAAATCCTCCCACATGTCACGTGCACGGTGTGTGGCCCCCACAGCAGCTGTGCCGAGCCCTGCCCGAAGTCATTGCGCCAGGATGCCCGACGTCTCCTGTAGGTCCTCGAGAGCATGACACTTGCTCTTGGGGTCCCTAGCTGGCTGCACTGGGATGCGCTCTGTCCTAAATGCCCATCTCCCGAGAGCAGTCAGCTTGGCTTTGACAGATGGTGGCCGCACTGTTTTTCATTTGTTAAAATGTAAAGTTAATTGATTCTAAAGGGTGCTGGCCCCGGTGGTCTGAGCTGATTACCCCCACGTCCTGGTGTGTATAACAGTGATGCCTCTTCCTCCCTCAGGTGGAGCCGGACAAAAGGAAACAAACACCCCACATGGTCTGCCAAGTTCAGGGAGCATGTTCTCGCGTCTGCTGTGGGATGGGGTGGTGAGGGCTGTTTCCAAAGCCTCACTGTGCTTCATTAACTGTCATAATTTTGCAGGTCATGGAATCCCATTTGGAATCATCTTTGGTGGAACTGATTTAAATGAAGATGTTAACCACAGAGAAAAAAACGAAGTGATGGGAAAGGTCCTCGAAGAAGCCAGGTAACGCAGCTGAGAACCTCCCAGGGGTTAAGCATTTGGGCAGAGTTCACTGAAACCAGCCGATTCCAAAGGGCCGCCATTGGGAGGTTCCCATCTTACCATAATAAACCCAAGCTCTCTCTCTCTCTTTTTTTTTTTTTCATTTCACTTTTTTCTTTCATGTGCACATTTTAATTTTGCCATGAAGAGTCATGGTAAGCAAGTTATTGCTCATGAATAATTGTTCAGTGATGGTTCACATTGGGCCAACCTTCTTAGAAGGTTGGAATTATTAGAATTATTAGAATTATTCCCATCAATGCAAATGACCAGATTCTTCCCTTTCTCTCTCTTTTTTCCTGCTGGGTCGAAGGGGCACACTGGTAGTCCTCAGAACAGCACACACCGACTCTGGGCCCGTGAGCGCACGCAGCAGGGAGGGGGTCACTGTGGGCGTTTGGGGCAGGACAGTCATTGTTTGTGGGGCCATGCTGCACTTCCCCGAGCCTGGCTAGACACTGCACACTGGTGACACCTGCCAGCACTGCAGCTAGAGTCTAACCTGTTTCTAGCCCCTGGGTTGCGGGGGGAGTTGCCCCCAGTCCAGAATCCAGAGCCGTGCTCCCCCAGTTCTCCTTGTCCAGGCATATTTGTACGGCAGTGTGAGCTACAAGGACAGGTGGGGGGAAAATCACCCCCATTCCTGTGTATCGCAAAGATGGTGGGAATACCTAACACAGTAGTAACAGTATAGAAATCCTCTATGTCCATATGAAAGTTCTTTTAAAAGGCTAAAGAAAATAAAGCAAAATCCAAATAGTCACGGGGACCTAAAGCCAAGAGCTCTTCTGTTCATCAGTGAAGAGGTGACTGGCAGGCTTTCTGGGGTGATTCCACAGAAGGGTCCAGAGGGTGCCACGCAGTCGGTCCCTGCCAGGCACCCCTGGTTTTCTGGGGCACAGAGCGAGTCCTACCCGAGTGTGGAGTCACCCTGAATCCAAAGTTTACCGAGACTCCAGCCTTTCAACTCTTGTAAATCTTTGAATTATTATTAAAAAAAAAAACCAAAACAGGCAATCAATTTTTTTTAATGTGGACAAACTGCTTTATTAATTCTTTAAAAACAACACTGCACTGAGGCATGATTGGCGTGGAAAAGAGAAGCTGTGTGGAATGAGTGTGAGGATGAGTCTTTATCAGTGAAACCATCATCGCGGTCTGTGCCGTAAACACCTCTATCCCCTCCGAACCTTCCTCCCACACTCTGGTGGTTACTATCCTGATGAGAGCACTTAACACGAAATCTGCCCTCTTTGCAGATTCGCAAGTGTAAGTTACAGCAGCGTGAGCTGTAGGCTCCAGGGGGTCTCCAGGACCTACTCACCTTGTACAAGGGAAACTTTGTGCCTTTGCTGAATCCCTTCCTGTTCTCCCCCTCCCCCAGCAGCCACCGTCCTACTTCCTGCTTCTAGAAGTTGGACTATTTCGGATTGTCCTGTCAGGCGGATCGCACAGGATTTGTCCTTCTGTGTCTGGCTCCCTGCGCTGGGCCTCCTGTCCTCCAGGTTCACGCACGTGCTTGCGCTGGCAGGATTGTCTCTTCCTTCAAGGCTCAGTAACATTCCGATGTATGTGCTTACTACACTGTCGTATCCGTTTGCCTGTCCGTGGACCTGTAGGTTGCTCCCATGCCCCCAGTAAAGGGCCAGCCACGCAATGTCTGTGGCTCGTCTCTAGCCCTCTCACGGTTGAGAAGCCCTGGTCAGGGAATCCAGAGCTCGTTGTGTCTTTATGTCACTGGAGCATTCCCAATCCCTTAGAAAGGACGCACTCCATGTTCCAGGATGCAACCCAAGGCAGCCCCCTCTTTTCACAAGGCAGGAGTCAGTCTCGCTCCTGAAAACTAGGGTTACTGTGAAATATCATTCCATTTCAGGACCCTCTTCCTCCTGAGAACTTCCCGGCCATAAATGTGGCCACACAACCTGGTCCAAATAGAGAGTGTGCCCCACGTGTGTGTGCGTCCGCCGGAGAGAATCACAGGCAACAAAGGTCGAGTTTGGGTTGATCTTGAAAGGCGATCTGTCATTATAGGTTTTCTCGATGTTGTCGCTCTCAGACTCTGAAAATTAATTACCTTTGGATTCATGCAGTTTCGCACGGTCTTACGGAAGAAATAATTCTGCTAGGTAGAAACAGTATTGAATGAATTCATCGTACGGTATTACCGTTAGCATCATTCATTGCATTGTTATTAAAACACATTGATTTTCATTTTGGGGGAGTATTGATGGAAGGCAGTGGGCAGGGAAGTCAGATGAATCATTAGATTTCTAGCCGGACAGTGTGCAGCATACTTTTCTGTAAAAGTATTGAACTTATCTCGCCTTATAATGAGTTTCATTTTTAATCAAATACTTTTAAATAGTTACATTTTTCTTATGAGGCTTATTTTTGAACTTTTTTAGTATTTAAAACTTTTTTTTTCTGCATGGTATAGTACTAAACTCACTTCCACGCCAGCTTTTTGGCTTCTATTGTAGTATGATAAGTATTTGGTAATTATAAATCCAAATTAGGTAAGGAGTCTGAAACGTGTGGATATTTTTTTGTGAAAGATCATCCAGGTGCATTTTAGAAAAATTTAGTATCATCCACAAATGAGCAAAAGAGAGTTTATGTGAATTAAATTGGCTCAGAAATCGTTTCACCATTAGGAAATGCATCCTGACGGGTTAGATCATGTGAAATTGTAGGTCAGGATGGCTCAGTGTCAGTCCTTTCATGTGGTTTTTGAACTATGATGTTCCCAAAGATGTTTTTGACTAAAAAAGTCACCTATGAAGGTGAGGACGTTTTGAAATGGCGATAATTCATCCCAAGTGCAAAAGTGGCAGTTTCACATTTTTTGGTAAGAAATGTGTGATTTTAAATTTCTTTATTTTTCGAGGATTGGTGGGCTCAAAACCCTCTTCAGGGTTGTCTCCTAGGTCGGTGGGTGTAAACCCGGGGCGGTGTCTGTAGGGAGGGGCCGCAAGGACAGAGTGTTACCTGCCACCGCGGAATAAATGGAAATGATGGCGCTGGCTCCAGCCCTCCCTCACCCCCGACTCCCAAAACACGTCTGCGCGCTTCCTGAGGAAGACCCTCCCAGGGCTCTCATTCCTCCCTTTGGTCTTCAGCCGAAGATCCCCCAGTGTTGGGTCCTGAGCTAACGGGACATGCTGGCAGAAAGGGTGACAGGCCGGGGATAGTGACAGCCAGCCCTGGGCGGGGGTTCCGGAGCTCCCTCTCCTGCACTGGGTCCCGCCACACCTGCTCTCCCTTCTCCCCCGCTCTGAGCCACGTCCTGCGGGAACACACGGCTGGACCCGGCCGCGCTTGCTCGTGTGTCCGTCCGTGGGTATTTCTGCCTGCCTGCCGGGTGCCACCGTGACTCCAGGGGCCGGGGGAGTCACAGTGCGCAGAGCCAGGGGCCAGGCGTTCCCGTGGGAGCGGGGGAGCGGGTTAGCTTCCCACGAGCACCTCCAGCTGCCCCGTGCGTTTATCTAGAAACAGCGTTATGGGGTGAAAGGCACGTCCTTCTGTCATTGACCCTTTTCCCCGCTCCTCCGCTTTTCTCTGAGGATGCTCTGAGCTGACTCCCGTGTCCTCCCAGCCCTCACCAGTTTCGAGCAATAGCTTACTGTCTGGCCCCCATGAGGTGTTCCTGGTTCATCCCCTGGGTACCGGGCCCCACCTCCGGAGACGGCCACTGCTTGATAAACGCGCGCATTAACATTCCTGACCCTTGCGCGTTCTCGGAGCTGTGACCGCGCGTCAGCAAGGCCTTCCCTCGCTGAAGCCAGGGCCAGGACAGCCTGTCCTTGGGTGTTCCGCATGGATTAACTAAATCCTCTGCTTCTCTCCTGCATGTGGCTCTCTGACTTTTTCCCTGCTTCTCTGACCTTGCGTGGAAGGAGCAACAATAAAACATTGAAATGCGGAGCGCCGTGTGTTTGTTCCTTGCACACACGCTTGTTTTGATGTGACTGGAAGGTGAACCTGATCGCCGCTGACCGCACGTGATGGAGATGGACGGCGCTTGAAATTCAGCCTCTCGCCTTGTCTCTCACAATTTGTTCCAAAGAGCTGTTCCCTAGTTCTGTTCATTGAATTCTGCCCTAATTGTTTTCCTTATTTTTGTTCATTTTACTAGATTTGCTGTCGCTTTCACAGAGTCAATGAAGGAAACGGCGCAGACACAGTGGGTATGTGTTGATTTTGCTGTCATGCTGGCTGAGCTGGGGAGGCGGGAAGGGGAGCTGGAGAGGTGGCGGGGCAGGGAGCTGGGGAGGTGATGGGGGGAGAGCTGGGGAGGCGGCAGGCGTGGAGGCTGCGTGGTGCTTGGATAGGAACGGACAGTGTTTCTGCCGACACTGCCTGATATGGCCACAAGAGTGTACAATGTCCCCTGTATATTGCTGGTTTTTAATTTGTGCAGATACTCTTTTTTTTTAAGATTTTATCTATTTATTTGAGAGAGAGCATGAGCGAAAAGAGATCAGCAGGAGAAGCAGACTCCTGCTGAGCAGGGAGCCCAATGTGAGACTCGATCCTGGGACTCCAGGATCATGACCTGAGCTGAAGGCAGGCGCTTAACCGACTGAGCCCCCCAGGCGCCCTTGTGCAGATACTCTTAAGACTTGACTGATTTTTTTTTTAATATTGCTGCTGGACAGCAGAAACCACCTAGGAGCTGAATCTTCTAATGTAGTTTTCTCCGCGCTCAGAGTGGGCGATGTCCAGGCTGCGCGCTAAAGGTGGCGGCCCCCCACATGCACGGAGAGCAGCGATCTTCAGTGGTGCATGTGGCTCCTACACTTGGACTGTTTCCCCGAAGAGCTTGAAGGGCGAGAGGGCTTTGTTGCTCCCCATGTGGATCGCTTACTGACTGATGACGTGGGGGCGGTGGGCTGAGCTGCTGGGAGGCTGTTCTCAGTGGCGCGTGAGGGGAAGCTGTGGCAGAGCTGGCGTCTGTAGCACAGGACCGGCCGGCCCAGGGGCCACTTTGCCCTGGCGACTCTGCTCTCTGCTGCGGAGACCTGCAGGACGCCCTGGTCGCCGGCACCGTGGTTCCCAGTGTGGGGCTGGCTCATCTTTGTGCCCCGGGGATGCCCTCACTGTTTGCCGGCGTCCTTCCTGTCGGGGCACGTTACACGCTCTGCACCTTCTGTGTAGAACTTCTGTCTGTCACATCTGGCGCGTGGGACTGCCGCGTGGGGGGGCGAGGGTGCGTGCGGAGTTCTGTGGGGCCTGTGGTCGCTCAGCGAGGCTGCCAGCACTCTGCGTGTGTGGGTCCGCTCATGCCCATGGCCGGCAGCGCCCGCCTCCTTCACATGAGACGCTCCCTAGGCAGGAACTGGAGGCTGCATTTTTCAGGGCAACTTAATAAACCGAAAATCTCCAGATGATAAATGACAGGCTGCTGGTTTTCTGTTGGGCCCACGGGGCTGTCTGGGAGGTATAGGAGTGGGGCTCCCTCTCTCTGGGCCCCACAGGGTCAGCCCATTTGCATCATAACATACAGTTTCCCTTCCTCACCTGTGGGAACGTAGGGAAACCACAGACCCTTTCTCCTAAGGACTGCAGGAGCCCCGTCTGAGCCGGTCTTTGATCATCTGCACGCCTCTTGTAGTTAAAAAAAAACTTTAAGATCTCCTTGATGAAGACATAAAAAATTGTAATTTGATCAGATATTGGCCCAGAACACATGCATTTTGCACGTTCGGTGTGACGGCCCAGGGAGAGTGCGTGCAACGTGTGCCGCCTTCTGAGCGAGGCGCGGTGCTTACCCGGAGGAAAGGCTCTCGGGGGCCAGAGCCGCAAACCCAACCCAATACGTCTTCCCCCAATTTTGTATCCGAAAGTGTGACCGGCAGACAAACCGGTGACGTGGATGTGGGCATTTGTTACCCCGCTTCTTAAAAATGAGTGGATCGAGCCAGTCCCATGAAGCAGAGCCCCTGGGGGTCTTTGTGGCCAGAGATAAGCGCATGGCATTTTGTTGAGCAAAAACAGGAACTCTGGAAACACACCCCGTGGTTGCCAGCCTCCCCCGGCGTGAGGACCTCCCTGGTGCGATCAGTGGTCCGATGGACAAGCGGGATTGTTGTGTTGGTGTACTGTGAGGACACGCTTTGTCATGTGGGAGGTCTGCTCGGCTCCGTGAACCGTGTTTTCCCAGTGACTGACAGCGCAACAGAGCCCTGCGTCGAGACGGGATCCGTCCGAAGCGCGAGCTGGACGCATGGGCTCCGGTGGGGCAGAGCGTGACATGAGTTCAGGGTCCCTCTCAGGTCTAAGTTTAGGACGTTACCACTTGTTGAGTTCTCGTGTAAATACCCAAGAGTAATACCTCCAGTGATCCGAAAAGGCTCGCCCCTTCCCAGTGAGCGATCAGCGAGATGCTGGCTTTTCTTTACGTATCTCGGCTGGCACGCGTCGGATGGAGCGGCCGGTGTGGGGATCCAACGGTCTTAGCCAGAGTGAAAGGAGGCTTTGACCTGTCAAAGTGGCTGGTCCTTGTCCTTCCCCCAAGCGTCTCCTCATTTGTCACCTTTGTCTGCTGACCTTAGGACCCTCCCAAGCCGATATAGATGGGTTTGCTTACTGTATCGGCTGTTTTTGTTCTATAACCAACCTCACCAAATACAGTGCCTTAAATCACACACTTGCTATCATTCTTGGTGTGTTGCCCGGGTCAGCTCAGCCAGGCTGCAGGGTCTGGGTGGCCTCCGGGTGCCGTGGCTGGGCCTTTGCGGGGGCCTGGGGACAGCCACGGACTCTCTCCCCTGGTCTCCGTCCCCCGTGAGACTCTGCACCAGGGAGAAAGCCTTCTTGGAACTTGTGCTTGAGTAATAGTTTGCTCCTGTCCCTGTGGCCAAGCAAGTAGAGGAGTGCGGGTACAGCTGGCCTCTTAAGGGGAGGGGCTTCCTGTCCCTGCAGGGACACGGACGGACAGACGCAGGAAGGGAGTTCCTTGGTGCTTATCTTTGCCTTCACCCTATGTGGTCAAGAGCTCCTTGAGGACAGGCACAAAGTGGGGTTCATTGTGCATCCCCAGAGGGTAACACATCCTTGTGTTCAACAGATATTTGTTGAACTGAATTTACCAGGGACAGACCCTTCTTTAGAACTTTTTAGGACAGAAATTTCCACGCATAAGTGAAAGCGGCAAGAATAGAAGCGTGCCCCATACCCAGCCCCTGCTCACGTTCTTCCGTTCTTAACCTCCGGTCATTCTCCCCCTTGCACGTGGACACACGCAGATGCACACACTTATATTCTGGAATATTTTTGTTAAAGTTTGCTCTCGTGCCATTTTACCTGTAAGTGCAGTTTGACAAGGATTTTTTTAACCTAAGTACTAGCTTCTGGATACATTTTTGTGTGGGAAGACTGTAGCATATAAGGAAGAAATAAAGTGGGACTCAAGAATAATAACATGATTTAAGATTTTTGTCAATAAATTTTGGAAGAACTCGAGTGAAGGAATTTGGGAAGGGAGAAGAGTGGACCCTGAGTCCCACACGCACTGAATCGGAGCGGAGTACGGGACTCCGGCGGCCATGTGGGGACCGCAGCTGCAGTGTGCGGCTGGCCTCGGGAGAGGGCGCCCTGGAGGGCCAGAGCCTGGGTCAGGGGTGCAAAGTGCCAGCCGACCTCATGGTTCTTCCTCCCCGAGCTTCGCTGTCATAGGCAGCGACAAGGGAATCGGCCTGAGTGCACAGAGTAGGCCCAGTCCGGGCAGGGGGCACCGCAGCAGTGATGACGCGCCCATGGAAGGGCCCGCTGACGTCTCGGAGCCAGGTTGTCACTCGGGTTCCCAGATGGGCTGGGTGATCCTGGGTCAGGGCCCTCTCTTTTCAGAAAGATACTTTTCCAAGTATCTGGCAAAGCATTAAAAAAAAAAAAAAAAAAAAATTGAGCAGGCGGCGAAAGTTCAGTCTGAGGTGATGATGTAAGAGATTATAATAAAAGCTAATGATAAGGAAAGGGTGTGTGTGGTTTAGAGTTTACAGCAGCGGGTGCTGGTTACTAGATTCCAGTGTGAGCCTGGGTTTTTAATACGGCGTGTGTCCTTTTGTTGGTGGAGGATTTTTCAGTAAAGTTCTGCTCAATACCTTTATCTGATTATCTTTTACAAATACAGTGTACGTATAAATAATGTAACGCTTCATTATTCAGCCACACTTATGTAATTATTTTAGATGGATTTTTGTAGAGAGATGATTTTTGCTTATGTGTTCTGCGCAGCGATGTTTCTTGAGTAATTAAGTTCGGCTCTTCATTATCAAATTGCCAGCTTTTGTTTTTAATTCTGTGTTCTTTATTTTAGGGCGCAGGCCTGACTCAGGGTGTCGCTTAGCTAATCCCACCTAATTACTGTCAAACCAGAATCAGATTTCAGTAATCCCAGATTAGAGAGAACTCACTGAGGTTCTACTCGTGCTTATGGTTTATTCTAGGGAAGTCGTAGACTGTATCAGGCTAAAATCAGCCACATCGTAGAGCTGTGTAGGGCAAAGGCTCCCCTGCCTTCTCCCCCTCGGAGTCAAGCCTTTCTCCCGTCTGGCCATTGATCTGAGCAGCTTACCCACGTGGAGCGTCTGTCTTTACTGCAGCTTCACTCTGTAGGCTTGACTGATTGGTTGGCTGCCACATGGCTGATGCCAGTGTCCAAGTGGACAGATGCCACTCGGCTCCAAGGCCCCACCCTAAATCTCGTGGGTGGTCTTTGTGGTATGGCGGGCTCCCACCCAAAGACCAGTGATTGGGACCGGCCCCGCCTAGACAAAGAGGCTCTGTCAGGTCTCACGGAGGTTACTTCCCAGAGGTGTCGTAAAAAGGCCAAGTTCTTTGTTGTACACTGTCTGTATCCAAAATCTTATTTCAACATGTGATCACTGTAAAAATGACTAATGAGATAGTTCGTGTATGTGTGTGTGTGTGTGTGTGTGTGTGTGTGTGTATTTCTTTTTTTGCATCGGGTCTTCAAAATCCAGTGTACCTTTTGCACTCGGGCACGTCTCTGTTCAGACCAGCCCTGGTTCAGGGGCTCTGTGGTCTCATGTGGCTGGTGGCTGGCGCATTGGTCAGCCCAGCTCTGGGTGTACAAGTGCGGGATGACCTTTCAAGATCGCTCAGACAAGTGCTCACACAGCATCGGGCGGTGGGAGACATCTTAAAAGAAGTGCCCCCAGAAGGGGCTTCTTGGGTCTGCCCTGGGTCCCCTTCAGCCCTCTGAGAAAGCCAGGGTGCTCCTCTGGGGGCTGCTTGTGGCCCCCACCTATCTCTGGCTGACTGCACCAATTAGTTTGATTGGATTTCAGTAACAATGGCTTTGTGTTGTCTCTTTGAATATGAAATGCCTTTGTTTGGAATTGTCCTTGCTTGCTTATTGTTGTTTCTATCAGCCTAAACGTGAGGTCTCACCTGCTCTGTGAAGGGCAGGGTCGCCTGGGCCCCTCACCAGCTCTGCGGGCGGCATCCGTAGTGTTCATCACGCAAGTGCAGCACCGGTCGTGTTTTGGGAAAAGCCTGCTCTGCTGGTTTGTGAAATTATAACCTTGATTTGGCATTTTTAGGAATCTTATTCTCTACCCACTGCTAACTTTGATGTATGCCTTATGGAAATGGAAAGCTAGTCTGCACAGAGTGTTGGCTTCTTGTGACGGTATGTAATAGACCTTCAGCATGCAAATCTGGGTTCGAAGTGAAGATTTCTTTCTCTGAATTCACCAGACTTTCACCACAAAATGTGACTACTTCACAAGAATAAAAAAAGTAAAGCAAATTAGGTATATATCGTAACGGAAGGCTCTTCTCTCCACAGAAGCAACGATCTTGGGGCGCCTGGGTGGCTCAGTGGGTTAAACCTCTGCCTTCGGCTCAGGTCATCATCCCGGGGTCCTGGGATCGAGCCCCGCATCGGGCTCTCTGCTCAGTGGGGAGTCTGCTTCCCCACTCTGTCTGCCTGCCTTTCTGCCTACTTGTGATCTGCCAGACAAAATCTTTAAAAAGAAAAAAAAAAAAGAAGCAACGATCTTGGGTTTACTAGGTCTTCATTGGGTTCAGACCCCCACAGGCCTGCAGAAAATTCAACTGCACTGTCGACCTGCTTTTCTAAGAAGTACTTTGCTAACAGGACTTTCTCCAAATTCGAATATTTATTTATGAGCTAGCTGGTTCTTTAAACATCTTGAGTTGGAGTAAACATTGCTTGAAGTGGTTATCAAATTCAAGAAAGCATGAGGATATCCAGAATGGCCCATCTGTCCTCTTTGCCGAGGTTAGCGCTGAGCTCAGCCTTCTGGTGTTGTTACATTTTAGAGATTTCTTTCTTTTTTTTTTTTTTTTAGTTTGGAGCTGGTGCCTCCCTGCCTTCTGGGGTGACAGTGTTGTGTGTCACCTCAGCACTCATTAAAGAAAAATAACTTTCTCGAAGTGGTTTATAGGAGGCCCTAGCTAAAGTGTGCATTTACTTTCAGTGTGTGTATGTACTCATCAAATTTTTTTTTGGAAATTAAAATGCAGAAAGCAAGACAGAGTTCACAGGCTGTCGCATGCACCATTGGCGGCACAGGTGAGCTCCCAAAGCCCACACAGGTGTGAGCGCCAGCCCCTCGCAACGAGCCGCACGCCGACTAATCGCTGAACTCTGTGCACTGACCGCGTGTCCTGCGAACGCCCATCTGCCCCCCTGCATGGCCCGCGGCTCTGTACCCGCCTAGCCCTGGGAGCCACACTGGCAGCAGTGGGAACACAGACCACAGCTTTGGTTCTGGTGCCCACCCAAATGGAAACTCACCACCCTTAGGCTCACGGGGCTTCGGCCTTCGGTGCCCTCCTTGTGTGCGGCCCTCCCCGCAGACGCCGCAGGAGAAACTCAGGGACCCATCGTACTCAAGGAAGCTAATCATTTTTAATAACTTCTATTAAGATTGGCTTTCCTCCGAGATTTCCTGATGGAACTAGAAATGTTCTTTGCATTTTTCTTCCCCAAATGAGATCCCTGGGAATTGAGAAGTTTTAATGTAACTCAGAGAGTGGGAAGCTCGTCAGTTCCAGAGCACAGACCGCGACCCGCGTTCACACGATCATGACCAGGGCGCGCAGACGTCTGGAGTGAGCAGAATTGCTTCGATTTCATCAAATCACCAAGGCATAGAACAGCTGGGGTGTCCCAGGTGGGGGGCGATGCTTTTGAATAACATCAATAATCCCCAGTTATTTACTCCGTAGGTTTAACTGTTTCTTAAAAAAAGAAATCTTCCCTCTAGTGTTCCTGTTGGCATCCCTAGTTGTGGCATTGCTGCCAGCTTTGGAGCCCAGGGCCCTGGATCCTGATCCAGTCCTGGAGACGCTCCTTGTCCCATTCATGTGTTTTTCCTTTTCTCTTTTCTTTCCTTGCTTAAAAAGCAATTTCCAGGGGAACAGTGGGAAGAGAAGGAAGAAAACCACACCCCCTGAAAAGGCCCCAACTCCTGTGCGTTTTTTTGGCATAAGTATGTTTTGAGAGCCTGCCACGTGCGAACCTGGATTGTTCGAAAGCAGTTTGTAGCTCTTTTCAAAGTACTTTTTAACAAAGCCGTCCTCAGATACTGCGTTAGAATTTCAAAATAAAAACTAGTACTTTTGTCACCCATAGGTCCTGCGATGGTATGTATATTTCAAAACAACACTGGCTGTGGTTTCTACTTACAGAGCTTCGTTTCCGAAGGTCATACAGGTGTTAAAAATGGGGGATCTGTGTGATGTTTCTACCTGTTACTCCGTTCTAAAAACGCATGTATTAGCGTTTGGGTCTGTTAGACAGTCACGTGTATCTGTAAGTATCTCTCCCACAGGACACTGGCTTTTCGTGTCTAGTAATGGGCCAAATTAGGTAACGGTTTCTCACGCACACAGTGGAGCAGCCTCTGCCCCCACCCCTGCACACGCACACACACGCACACACACGCACACACAGCCCCTCTTTTTCATTTTCTGCATCGATGAGCTGATCTTGCAAGAGAACTGATATACAAGGGTTTTGACTCTTAGATTATTTCAAGGCAAGAGGAACAACAATAAATATTGAGAAAAGAAAGCTAATTTGTATTTAGAGCATTTTGCTTTTCAAATCGATATGAGCCAGCTGGCTTTGCCAGTTTTCTTTTATTATAAAGATTAAAAATAAACCAGGTCCGGATTTTTTATACTGTAACTCTATTTTTTTGACTTACTAGGATGAGATCTTAAAATATCCGTAGCATGTTTTAAATGTCCATAGAACTTGATACTTATTTTCTCACAGTTTGAGTAGATTTGAGGAAAATAATGCTGTAAGATATATAAAGACCAGCTGATAAATCCAGAAATTTCCACAGAGAGTCCATTTATTCTGCTTATGGATGTAAGACACCAGTTCCATTAATTTGTGTTCGTTTCAGAACGTATGTTCCTGAAGGGAGCACTGTGGCTTATGCAGTTCTAACTGCAGACAGAGCTTATTTCTAATGGAAACAGAGGCAAGGCAAAACCCCTATTATGCCCTCCCTTAATTAACCAAGTCTGTGTAGAATTACATTGAATCTGTTTTTGTCAAACGCTGGTGTTCACTTTCAAGTTTAAATACCAGGCTGCTGGGTGTTTCAGGTGTGTGAGCACGCTTTCCGGGGGCCGGTCGGAGCAGCGGCGCCCCGTCCTCCTCTGCACACCAGTAAAAGTCTCTCTAGCTTTCCAGTGAGAGTGGAACTACACAAAATGGGACATTAGGGCTCTGGACTTCAATTTCTAATTTCAAGTTGTGACTATTAGCCATATTTTCCATAAAAATTAACCTTTTTTCTCGCTAGTAGGGAGGAGAGTTTAAATTTTTTAAGGCTTCCTATCTTAAGGGCATTTTAAAAGGGGGTGCGTCTGTGCTGCGTGGTGAAAGGAGGCGGCCGTTCCAGGCGTTAGGGGCCTCAGATGCGGGATGGGACACAAAGGACCCGAGAGAGGTGGAGATTCCCATCTGTGCAGGGAGTTGCAGTCCACTGCCCTGAAAATGGCCCAGGGCCTCACCTCCAGCCCCTTCCCTCTCCTCCCTCTGCCTCCTGCCCCTCCTAACTCCTTCCCCACAGGCGGGGGCTGGGCGGATAGTCTTTCCATTCAAGAATCTGTGTCCTCAAACCAGGGTTCCCACACGTCTCCCCCAGCTTCTGCACGCGATGGACAGGCTCCCCACGGGCTCTGCCATCGGCGTGTTCGCTGAGCGTCCCTAACTCTCTACTAACATGTAACCATACAGCCCTCCGCACGCATCATGCCTAACCTAAGGGGCCTCTATGTGCCGCTTACCTCGGAGATGCATTTTTATGGGCTAACCCCCATTAAAAGCGGAAGGAACTTTTGCTCTTAGAAAGTAACTAGTGTGGGAGCGGCTGCGCGGATGATCCTTCGTGACATGTTCCGAGGTGATTTATTTTAGAGCCTGCATTTTATTTCTAAAACGCAGCTGTAACGGACTACCCAATTTACTTTTGTCCTTTTTCCGTTCTTTTCAAAAGCCGCATGCCAGGGGGAAGATCTACGTCCAGAGTCAAGGTAAGAATTTTTAAATTTATGTATTTTTAAAGACGAGTTCTTCTAGAGCTGTGCTCGGACTTGTTTGTGGTGAAATCCTATGGGGCCTTAGATTTGCCTCCTAATAATTAGTAGGACGGGCGGACCTATTATCTCCTAACGTGAAGGTGAAGGACAGCTACAGCGACGTTGTAAAAGGACAACTTGTAATACAGGTCATTTACCAGTTTCAACCGGTGGAAGTACAGTGTGCTCCCTCGGGGGCGTGTTTACAAAGCAGAGCCCTCCTGCGCCAACCTCACCCCTTCCTGCCCTCACCCAGGCAGTCCCTGCCCAACAGTGGCCTCCACAGCCCTTGGGGAAGCCCGTAGCACATAACGCAGTGAGGGGACCGCTGCGTTCCCGTTGAAACAACAGGAGTCCCGGGAAGAAGCCACTGCAGCGGGGACACGGAACCCCCGCGAGGCTGGGTCAGTGCGGGTGCAGAGGCCGGAGGCCCGCCTCGGCCGCTCCGCGCCTTATCGCGGGGGACGTGCTCGGGGGTTTCGGTGAGACACGAAGCAGAACCACTTAACTCCGTATGTGTGCATAAACGGAGTCTCCAGGTGTGAGCGCGGGAGCTGTCGCGGCCGGACTCCTAGCCGAGGGCCCCGTGGGCGCCCCAGGCAGGCACGGGCTTGGCCACAGCCTCTACGACCTACACCCTGAGTCACTGTGAACACCACTTAACCTGTGTGGACCTCAGTTTCCAGCTCGATACACTGGAGACTCTGCCTAGCGGAGTGTGCAGGGGTCCCGGGGTGTGTGGGCTGCACCCACCCGGGGTCTGTGCCCAGCGCGGGCCTGCAGTGCACACTCACTAACTAGTACGAACGGGAATCATCGGTGTCATTGGGTGTGGGTGACAGTCTCGAAGGTAAGTTGTGGAGAGGGTTCCATGACTTCATTTACACATCCTGAAACTTCAGATGTTCCCCGTTGTCAGCGTAAGCTGGTAAGTGTCGCCTGAGCGCCTACGCCTTAAATGTTCCATTCAGAACTTTAAACTTAAATCTGTTCAAGGAGCTGCCCAGGATAGCAGGCCGTCCTGTGTGATGCGGGGAGGGCCCAGACTAGGAATTTGAAGCGGAGACGTAATTCGTACGTGGGGCTGTGACACAGAAGCCGGCTGCCTCTGTTAGAGACGCGGCTGGCCCGCCCAGCCATGCACGGCGAGGTCCGGGGTGGGGGGCGCCTTTCCTCGCTTGGGACCTGCGGGCTCCCTTGGAACGTCCCGTGCGGGGGGGATGAACAGGCGTGCACAAGGCACTGGGAACCTTGAGCTCTTCGTAAGAACCACGTAGGAGACCATTATTTGCACGTGGACACAAGGTAGCAGGTTGCATCTAATCAGCATGGCCGCTCTTTCTCTCCTTCGACCCAGGGGTCGTGACCGTACCAAATGCCGCCTTCAGCTGGGACACCTTCCTCCACCGTTCAGGTGAGACATTTTGACCAGGGGGCTTCCTGCCCAGTGGCGAGGTACATGGGGTACTCCTGGGGTTTGGGAGAAGGGGTTCTTCAGGTCAAAGGGAACAAGGGGCGGGGGAGTGGGAACTGGGGCCAGGGTACCCTGGCGTCTCTGTTCCCGGAGGCATCATGAGTGTCTCTTCCTTGGGAGCATGGGAAGAAGAGCGGTTTGGAGAAGGATTTTTCATCCATTCTGGGGTCAAGTCTTCTGTGAGATATGTGTAGATACGTGAATATTTTCTGTTTCCTCCGGTTTACCTATTTTCTTCTAGTTTATCCATTTTTCATTAATGGTTAGCACTGAACCCTGACCAAGAAACCTTTGCCTGCTCAAAGTCCACAGGCTATTCCCTATTTCTTTTCCTCCATAAGTGTTAATGTTTTCGCGCTTTCATTTGGATTTTAACCCATCTGAAATTAGTTTTTGCGTGTGATAGGAGGTAGGGATCAAAATCCCTTTCTTCTTGCACGTTGTGCTAGTATCGTTCACTGAAAATGTTTTTCTTCGCTGAATCGCTCTGCCGAAAAGCGGGTCGGCACGTGAGTGTCCACCGTCCGCACGTCTGCCCTCGGCCGACGTTGCGCTCTTCTCGCTGCGGGTTTGCAGAACGTTGAGATGGTGCTGTGAGTCGGTTACCCGGCTTAGCAGCTGTTGCGCCTATCAGTACGTTTCCACCCACCTGGCAATCTCTAATAAAACCCCACTGTATTGATCTGCAGAAGAATTTAGGGAGAATGGAGATCTTAAAGTCCATGAGAACATGATCTGTCTGTCCACTTTTTTGTCTCATTTACCCTCATAATGATTTGTACAAGTCTGTTTTTTTAAAGAGGGGCGCCTGGGTGGCTTAGCCGTTTAAGCGTCTGCCTTGGTCTCAGGTCATGATCTCAGCCCACATGGTGCTCCCTGCTCAGTGGGAAGCCTGCTTCTCCCCTTCCTCTTCCCCCTGATCGTGCTCTCTCTCTCTCAAGAAATTATTAAGGATTTTATTATTTTTGATGCTACTCTAAAGGTTTCTTAAATTTTGTTTCTGAATTGTTTGTTGCCATATACAAAAATAAAAATTTTTTACATTATATCCTAAAATCTTATGAATTAATTCTAATCAAAAATCCTTTGTAGTATTGAGTTCTACAGACTTATTTGACCAACCCTTTTTTAAACACATTACTATGTAGTGATGCAGGTGCTACATACATTTCAACCTTCATACATTTGCCCAGTTGTGGTTTTTTTTAAAACATACTATAAAATTTGCCCACTTATTTTTTAATTAACATATAATGTATTATTTCCCCGGGGTGCAGGTTCATCAGTCTTAAACAGCTCACAGCACTCACCGTGGCACGTGCCCTCCCCGGTGTCTCTCACCCAGCCACCACATCCCTCTCACCCCCCTCCCCTCCAGCAACCCTCAGTTGGTTTCCTGAGATTAATAATCTCTTATAGTTTGTCTCCCTCTCTGGTTTCGTCTTGTTTCATTTTTCCCTCCCTTCCCCTGTGAACCTCTCCCTTGTTTCTCAAATTCCTCGTATCAGTGAGATCATGTGATAATTCTTTCTCTGACTTATTTTGCGTAGTATTCCATTCTGTATATGAACCACATCTTCTTTTTTTAAATTTATTTATTTGACAGAGATCACAAGTAGGCAGAGAGGCAGGCAGAGGGAGAGGAAGGGAAGCAGGCTCCCTGCTGAGCAGAGAGGTGGAAGTGGGGCTCGATCCCAGGACCCCGAGACCATGACCTGAGCCAAAGGCAGAGGCGTAACCCACTGAACCACTCAGGCTCCCCTGAACCACATCTTTATCCATTCGTCTGTTGAGGGACATCTAGGTTCTTTCCATTGTGTGGCTATTGTGGACGTTGCTGCTATAAACATTCGGGTGCACGTGCCCCTTCAGATCACTACGTTTGTATCTTTAGGGTAAATACCCAGCAGTGCAGTTGCTGGGTCATACAGTAGCTCTATTTTCAACATTTTGAGGAACCTCCATGCTGTTTTCCAGAGTGGCTGCACCAGCTTGCATTCCCACCAACAGTGCAGGAGGGTTCCCCTTTCTCCGCATCCTCGCCAGCATCTGTCATTTCCTGACTTGTTAATTTTAGCCATTCTGACTGGCGTGAGGTGGTATCTCATTGTGGTTTTGATTTGTATTTCCCTGATGCCGAGTGACGTGGAGCACTTTTTCATGTGTCTGTTGGCCGTCTGGATGTCTTCTTTGCAGAAATGTCTGTTCATGTTCTCCGCCCATTTCCTGACTGGATTATTTGTTCTCTGGGTGTTGAGGCCCGGTTGTTTTCCATGGAACACCTGAAAGCAATCTCTGGGTTAGATTATTGATGCCCTTAGAGCTTTCATGCGTAATTGTCTCCTGAGAAGGCAGCATCAATGAGCATATCCCAGTATCTTTAAATACAGGAAGTTTTCTTGCCCACCCATGAGCCCCATAAATGTATGCTCTTGGGGACTCTCATGGCCCTACAGGCCGACCAGCCCAGTCCTTCAGCTGAGGATGTGGGAAGAGCTGCCACTGACTCACCAAGCGCAGTGTAAAGTGTAAGAACTCTTCTGTTCCAACCCCCACTGTTTCTTGTGAGGGTCAACGTTGCAAGGGTACTGTTGGGGGGAAAGGGGGGCTCTGACGTAGCAAGCCTGACGTAAACTTCAGAGAGGAGCTGAAAATGCAAACCACAGCCCTGTCTGCAAGCAAACTTGCAGACCCCAAGCCCGTTTCCTCTCTGGAAACATCAGAAACCAACCCCCGCCCCACCCAACCTACTGTAGATCAGCGTTAGGGTCCACTGGAAAACGAAAATTTCTAAGCATTTTATAGAAACCGTTTTCCGAGTGCATCCATCAGCCTCAGTCGGGGCCAGCAGCAGGGCTGTTCCCCACGTCACGGAGGAGCCCCCACTGCGCCAGTGCTCCGTCGCACTGGGAAGCGCAGGCCATTTCTCAGATCCAGCCGGGCCCGCTGGAAATCGCCTGTCGGGAGGTTATTTTAGCTTCTATATATCATGGGATGCTGCTGGCGTTGTGACTAACAGTCATAATTTCCAAAAGGAGAGTGATTTCTCATCAAGCCTGTAGTCTCTGGTTGATTGTTTCATTGGTCTTATTATGGAGTGATTAACGGGACAGCAGTGGGATGGGCAAGACTCCTCAGACCTGCTGGCCGGCAGCTCCACCTTCACAGGTGTAGTTAGAAGCCATGACCGTGGCCGGAACCCGTGGCAGAGGGAGGCTGGTGGTGTCACGGTTGCCGGCTCAGCTGGTCCTGGCGTCTGGTGGAGGCAGAATTAATGGGTGTCTCTGGGTTTTATGAGCAGGTGTCTGTTCTCATTTGCGGGGTCATTCATCTTTCTCATCTTTTGGACTCTGGAGATGGACGGTCTTCCCCACCCATCCTCTATCTCAGCCTGGCCTCCGGGGCCCGTGACTGATTTGTCACTTCCACTTTGAGCTTCAGACAGTGAAAACAGAAAACCCCGTGAATTCAGTGCAGAGTCCTAGCCCTCAGACACTCAGCCCCTGCATCATCCCAACTGCTCACCTGGCACTCGCGGGGCAGGTGGGGGTGGGGGGGGGTCTCAGCAGCGCCCACCGACGAGCGCTTGATCGGTCTCCAAGGGCTTCCGTCTGCTGCTCGGGTCCCTGATGTTGATTTCATGATGTGCCCTCCTTTACGCTCTGTCTGGGTCCTTCTGAGACTATCCAGTTCTCCCTCTAAGCCCTAGCTAACAAACTGCTAAATCTTTTTAAAGCACTGAACAATGTTTATGCTAACCAGATACCATGTTCCAACAAACCAGCTAGGGAGAAATGAAGAATAAAGTAGGTTACAGGCACGGAGTGGCATCTTACAGATTTTTACATGCTGTTAACAGTAGTTATTCTGATCAGAAGATACACGTACAGGAATCAGGTCAGTTACCTTGCAGTTTTTATGTCCATGTCCAACTTGAATGTTGCTACGGTTCAATGATGCGTGATTTTTGCTTTCAATGTCAAGAACCAGGGCATCTGGATGGCTCAGATGGTTAAGCCTCTGCCTCCAGCTCAGGTCATGATTCCAGGGTCTCGGGATCAAGATCCACATCAGGCTCCCCGCTTAGCAGGGACCCTGCTTCTCACTCTCCCTCTGCATGCCCCTCCCCTGCTGTGCTTTCTCTGTCTCTCTCAAATACATACATACATACACACAAACACACATACACACACACACACACAAACATACATACATACGTTCCAATAATGGCCGCATCAAAAACGGCAATTCTTTGTAAGCCACCAAACCCAAAAACTGTGAAAGCATGAATTTGACCAGATCTTCCTGATTTCCTTTTGTTTGTATCTCTATGCGTAACACGTCTATTTAATTTTCTTCTCCTCTCCTCCTTTCAATTCTATTTCTATGTGGAGACTGGACTATGCCAGGCTCGGATGGTACTGTTTTGCTTCTTGGCCAGGCCTCAGAAAACCCTTTGTTCTTCAGGTGGAAAATTGATGTTACCAGATCCCTTGATATTTTCACAGCCCCTGAATCAAATTTTCCGGCTAAAATCCACTACATCTAATGCACTCAACTGAAATCCTTGGATTTTTTTCTCCTTATAATAACACATGGACAAAAAAGCAAATGAACAGAGCGGCTAGAACAGAAGCTGGGAGAGAAAGTGGCTTTATGCAGATCAGGTTAGTACCGTGGAGGGGCTGACAGGTCAGGCAGAGCGCTGGGCAGCATGGAGGGCGCTCAGCCCGTGGGGACCAATACCTACCCAGTAATGGTTATCAAACCATCCCGAACACCTACAGACTCAACAGGAGATCGAAGAGAAGAAGAGCAGCAGTTCTAGGAACAGAAAAGCGACCACTTTCTGGAAGGTGGGATGTGCGGAGACGTGAATCCAAGGCAACATATGGGAAGAGAGACAGTGCGGGGAGGAGCAGGCTCCCAGCAAGAGAGCA